ATGTATTCAGGGAACCCCCTGAATAACTCCCCCACCCTCCTCTCATCTCTAATAGACTGACCCTAGACAACAAATAGCTGAGAAGCTGAATTGAACGAGAACGGTAGCCGTTTGGCCGGGCCGTATAGTCTAAACGCTGTGTGGCCCGGCTGAACGACTATCGGAGCATTACCATCGAGCAGGACTCAGAGATAGCACGCCTATCGGCTAACAAAACTAGTGTATTTGCCGATACGAAATCATTCTATTAGATCCCAAACATTAGATCCCAATCACTCTCCCACACCTATCCCACCCCTCATCCCTCATAGTGTCTTTCACAGAGAAATTTCAGAAGTTGGTTTTTTATTTTTATTTTCCAACATAAAAAATGCTAAATTAGAGAGAAAAAGGTAGCAATCGACGATCAATCTTTTTGCCCTGGGCAACTCACTGACATGAGCTGGATTAAAGGTTTACTCCTAGGAGTCAGCTCCCTCATGACTGCCATCAGGGTTGTTAGACAAAAATCATCGGCAAGGCCTGCATCGGCTGCCTCTGAGGGCTCCCTTGGAGGGTAATTCTGTGGCGTATCTAAGTGTTTTACATTGTATGTTTTACATTTTTATCATGTCCAATGTCCCCTTTAGAAGATTTTTGTTTATACACCCTGTATTGTAAAAATGTTTTTATTGAATAAATGGAATTGAAACGGTGCCTGAGGGTCGATTCTCATGCAAAACTCAACGGTGAAAACCGCAAATCGATAACTGTCTTCGTTTCGGAGTTACAAGGTGTTCTTTGGAAATCTGCATTTTTGAAATGTGCTGATGGCCACAAATATTTTTTGACAAAAATTGTATGTTATCATGAAAATAACTGCAAAGTATGGAGTTTGAGATAACAATCATTCCTGAAGCACTGAAATCGGTCTTCTTATATCTTGTTCAAGTATATAGCCTGTTTTTCTTGAAGGAAAAGTTCTATTTTGGAAATAGGTATATGGTGACTGATTTCTGTGCCTGAGGATGCATTTTTATTGATAAACACAATGCTTCTTCATAACAGGTTTTATGAAAACGAATGATGTTTGACAGAAAAATGAGTTTCAGCCACTTTTCGAAAATTCATATTCACTGTGAAACGAAGATATATAGATGCAGTTTTCCCCATTGAGTTTGTCTTGTGAATTGGTCAACAGGCACCAACATGTTGTCAGGGAATAGGACTTTTCTTCTAAAAGTCACCCTGTACAATGAATTAATCTAACATTCGCCTCACTTGTACTATAGGCTCGACTATTATAGGTATATGTATACCTCGGTACTGAATAAATATAATTCCAGATAAATTATCCATTTCTGAGGAATCACCTCGGGAATCTCCTGAGACAGGTTTTTTATCATTCTTAATAAGAGCAAAAATCAAATATACAAAGTGATTTACATTTGAGTTATGACACTCGCGAAAATTTTTTCAAATGGAACAATCTATACTATATTATTCGATTTTTGAAATCTATGAAAATCTGAATTCAAGAGTATATCACACATAGGTTTTGTATACAGTGCATTCATCCCTGAACATGCAAACATGATGAGTTTATATACGATCCTTCAGAAAATACATGACTGATTTTCGATACGCAATATGAAGTCTGTAGATTAGCTCCATTTATTGTTCATTGCCTGATGTTCGTGTGAGACTGTATTTGGTTGTGCCTCGGGTTGTGCGAACACACATGCTGTTCTGTGTTCTAATAAATTGGAATTGATTCACCATAAATGTCCCCCCTCTAGCTCAGTTATTTTTGAACCGATTGCAAAATTTTAAATATCATCTGAAATGATTTTCGATAGAGTTTTTTCCGATATATCGGAAAATACAAGGTGCTCGGAACACTTCGATTTTTTTGAATGGAACACCCTATTTCTCATTGTATTTTCAGATTCTCCCTGAAGAGCTGATTTCATCAATGCATCACACTTGGGGTCTAGCGAAAATGATTAGAGAGATATAGGGTGTTCAAAATCGAGATTTTTCAAATTTCGGTCAAACCGGCTTTCATGTCCTATCTCAACTTTTGATTTCACTCTCTACTGATATTTAATAATTGGAACAGATATAGGGTGATGATCAGGATTATGAATCTTGAACCACACTGTATATGTTCCAATTATATGTCAGTAGATAATAAATCAAAAGTTGAGATAGAGCTCGAGATAGAGACATTGAAGCCATTTTGACCAATAATGAATAGTTTTGACACAAAAAAATCCTAAAGTTGAAAAATCTCGATTTTGAACACCCTATATCTCTGTAATCATTGCCGCTAGACCCCAAGTGTGAATGATTGATGAAATCAGCTCTTCAGGGCGAATCTAAAAATACGATGAAATACAGGTTGTTCCATTTGAAAAATCAAGTCGTACTCTGTAGATCGTTTGTTCCGAGCACCCTGTATTTTCTGATGCAACGGGAAAAGATTTCTGAAAAATCATTTTAGATGATTTTTCAAGTTTTCAAATCGGTTCGAATATAAGTGAGCTAGAGGGGGGAACATTTATGGTGAATCACTCTGTACATGAATGTGAATTTACCTCGGAATTCACGAAGCATTGATTGAGTTTTGCTCGGTCAATGCCATTTTCATTGCTGTTTTGTCAAATGCTGAACATGAGGAGGTTAGTTGTAAGAATAGCCTTGGGCATTTGGGCATAATCTCGCCTCCATCTGGTCAGTGGTCAGACAAGATGATAACGTCTTCTCTTCCTATGTTATTTGCGAGGTTATTAAATTTGTTATCCTTGCAATGAAAACCATTACTATTATCATTATTATTATTATTATATGAGAAAATACCAATTACGTCATTTTTTCTATCGGAGGATCATCTGGAGAATCATTCAGTATGTATTTTTATTGAGAAATGCCCTATTGACAATAAGATTCGACGTTGAGCGGATATTATTTTCTTCTGAATTTTTTCTGTGCTATAAATAATTGAGATATTACCTACTCAACATCTCATTCCATTAAAAAATCCAAAATGACTTCCAAGTTCCAATTTGGAATATACGTAATAATATACAGGGTGTCCCAAGATTGCTGAGACATAGAGTGACGTTACCATGTAATAGCACAGTTGTACAGTCGCATTCAAAAAAAAGCGTACAAGTATATACAGAGAGAAATTAACGTCATCCTATTCTGCATAAAACGGGCTATCGGGAATGATTGTTGAACAAATGTTGACAGTAAAGTTGTCATAGATTCTCGAAAATGCAAAGCATTGTCTGAGCCAGTTTTACACAACTAGAACCAGGATCCCGGAATCCTCTCTTTTTAATACTTGTACGCTTTTTTATTGAATACGACTGTAATAGAGTTCAAAATGAGTTGATTAGACCCAATTTATTTATATACCAAAATGTACCGTTTTTCCGTGAGAAGAGTTCAAAGTTTACATGAAAAAACACATTTTTGTTCGCTTTTCAGAAATGAGTAAAACAAATTTGACGAAAGGGCATTTTAGACGATTACTCTCCTTTAAGTTATCAAAGAAACTCAAAAGGAATTGTAGAAGGATTGAAACTACCCTCACCTCTTGATATTTTTTTCAGAACATTCTTAAGGGTGGTAATACGGTTCTCAAATTTTTCAAACGAGAAGACAAAGATTGATTATCATGATTTTGTTACTGGTGTGAAAACTTCTTACTCCCGATATTTCCGAGAAAATAACTATTTCATTTAATTTTGCTAACAGGTATAAGTACCTGGGAATATATTCCCACTACAAATTCAATAACATTTCAATAAAAAAATTAGTTGACAGTGGAAACAATAAAGGCAGAACGTTTTTCATAATACATTTTCAATATGACGGTCACTTTCATCAATACAAAGGTCAATTCGACGTAAAATATTAGAATGCCCCTGATTATTTTATGTAATCTTAGAACTCTTCTCACGGACAAACGGTAGATTTAGATTAGATTTAGAATGGGGCCTTCGGGCTATCTGCCTCCACACCGCGACCTTTTCAGATCTATTGTGTCTGCCCTCAAAATCGATTAGAGTTCTTCGGCTAGCCCCGTCTTCTCTATGAGACTCCATAGGCTAGCTTTCAGATCCCCTGTGTATCTCTGGGCTTCTGGTTTTTCCTCACCCAGCGTAAGGAACCTTAGTCTTGACAAGCCCTCACAGTGGCAAAGTATGTGTACTGCTGTTTCCTCCTCTTCCTGACAGAACCTGCACAGCAGTTCTTCAGTCAGACCTATCGTACTCATGTGTTTGTTGAGCCTACAATGCCCTGTGAGAAGTCCCACTAGTATTCTAGTTGAACTTCGTTTCTGGCTTAGTAGATATTCTGTGAATGTTGGCGATGGTTTTTTAATAAACTCTTTTGCCTGTCTCATTCCTGGCGATTTGTTCCACCATTCTTGTGATTTGGTTTGCATCCATGATTTGATACTAGTCTTTTGTATAGCTTTCGCAATACCACAGAAGGGTTCTGGGCCATTCAGAGCTTTGTTTGCTCCTGCTCGGGCAAGTGAGTCTTTCTCTTCATTGCCCTCGTACCCTGTATGTGCTGGTACCCATGCTAGAGTCAGTCTGTTCTGACTGCCCAGTGCATTTAGGGTTTCTAAGCAGTCCCATACTAGTGTTGAGTTAACTTGCATAGAGTTGACTGCTTTGATTGCCGCCTGGCTATCTGAATAGATTGCAATGGTTTTGCCTTTAAACTCTTGCCTTATCAATTCTATCACGCAATGATGTATTGCAATAATTTCTGCCTGAAACACCGTCGCGTATTTACCTAAGCTCAGTGAGATTCTTGTCTTTGGCTTGGCCCCATGGACAAACGGTACATTTTGGTATATAAATAAATTGCGTCCAATCAACTTATTTTGCCCTGTACTATACGTGGTAGCTCAGTGTCCCAGCAATTCATTTTGACATTGACCTTTTTCTTGGTGTGCCCTTGGGTAAGAGACGGCCCTGATCGAGTATGTGCACATGGCAGTCATGGCACCAACTGAAATCGCTGAGAAGAACAAAAGAAAAGAAGTTAGTTACGGTACGAGGTGCATCAAATGAGTTATTTCTTGGTACGATATTATTTATGACGGCTGGTCTTGGAAGATGCCAAAAATCGCCGCAGCAATAGCAATCATAATATACAACAATTTGCCACGGATCAACGTAATTGCTCCTCCTTCTCTCTCTTCCTCTCGAGAGAAGAGGCTGTATCGAGTTCGGTTTCACGTTTTATTTCTTGTTGCAAAATTGCATTGCGGTGCAATGTGCATGCTCTTGGTTTCAGATCTCACAGGAGATCATGGATATCGATACGCTTTGTATAGAATAAAGGTTACCCGTTACATAGGCAGGTAATAGGTTATTCGAATGAGCTGGATCTGATGGATTACAAATGAGTCACTTAGGTACTTTTGGTTGACTGTATAGGACATTTTCTGCGTATTTTCGGAAATGCTGTTGTATTGTACATATATGAGGTGATTACGCACTAAAAAATCTATTTTGCTCCCTTCTTTTGATATGCCCGCTGTTCTTCTCCACTAAACATGAAAACATAACTTAAACATAAATGTTATGTTACATTGTTACTTTGTTTTTTTTATTCGGGAGTGCTTGCAAAAGGTTGGACCTATAATCCCGTGGTGGAACTGCGAGCACTAAGGAGGGACAAATATCGATGGATCCTCCTCTTGAAGGCAAATAGATTGTAGTTCGCTGGAAATACATCTGTGGGTAAAGAATTCCACAGTGAAGATGTCCTACAAAAGAAGGAGTTCTTGAAATATGTTGTTCTAGGTGTTTCAATTTCGACTGCATATTGGTGTGAGCCAGACGAGTTTGGCGAACAAAGGTCATTCCAGGGGGGACAGCTGATGACAATTCAACAGAGCATCGTCCATGATAGTAGCGATAGAAGAGTGATAGGTCTGCAACGTCTCTCCGATGTTGTAAAGTTTGCAGTAATCTTATCAGAGTTGGGTCATTGATGAGCCTGATGGCTCTTCTTTGAACCGACTCCAGCCGTTTTTGGAGCCAAACCCCAGACGTGCGAACAGTACTCAAGGGATGGTCGAATCTGGGCTTTGTAGAGTGTCAGAAGCTGTTGTGACTGTTGTGAGGTGAAATACTTCTTCGCGCGGAAGAGGAATCCCAGCTTTTGAGAGGCAGCTCTGGCTATATTGGCAACATGGTCATGCCAAGATAAACTGTCAGATACCGTGATGCCGAGCATTGATAGTGATGAACTGTTTGGTAAGGTTCTTCCAGCCATAATTGTATCAGAACCCGCACGGTTAGCCTTCTTAGAAAAAACTGTTGCTTGAGTCTTCAAAGCGTTGAATTGTACGAGGTTCAAATTGCCCCATTGTTGGATCCTTTCCAAATCGTCGTTGACGGTCTGGATCTGTTGCAAACGTAGACCTTTGTTGGTTGCTGCGAATATTGGTGTATCAGAGGAGTATGATGCTATAAGAGTGGTATCTTCAGCAAAACTGAAGAGAGGGTTGGTAGTCATGTGCAACAGATCGTTAATATGTAGTAAGAAAAGCGTTGGGGATAGAATAGAGCCCTGTGGTACTCCTGCATTGGTAGGCAGTGTGTCTGAAGTAATCTCGTCAACAACTACATGTTATTCAGAGAGATGCTCAATGTCACAGACACGTTACGGGAATATGCCTTTGTGCCTCTTTTAAATATTACAATGTGATGTGGATGGTGAATATTATATATCAATATATCAGGAATCACATAAAATCCATGTTACTTCATAACGTATATTTAATGTTACTCAAAACATCTAAACAATATTGTATATTAACATTCTAATTAGTTTCTGGGATTTATTAGGTTAGGTATGTCTATTTTATCTGGAATCATCGAGAGAATCATCTGAATGATCTTCAGGAAAGACACAGAAGATGATCTATCCTTGAATATGAATTGATCTTACCGTACTGATATTTTGAGACAGATTAACAACTATCTTTCTGAGTATTATTTTAGTTATTCTGCTTCATAAATCCAGTCATACCTTCAGCTTAGCTATATGATTTCTGCATAATCTAGTAATCTTTTATTATAATAATCATTTTGATATTCTATTCTAAGTCCTTCTTTTAGCTATGATATATAACCCCATATTTTCTTTCGAATTTATTTGAGTCTAAGACTTGTTTAGTTCTTAACTTACTTTGATAATATCGAATAATATCTGAAAATCAATATTTTCAGTAATCACACTATTTGGCCTTTTCACCACAATAGCCAACAATCAAAATGGCTGGAATGGAATCGAATTGACTTTTGATAGTTGACAAGGTTACTCCTACGTAATTTCAGAATATGAGGTGGTTCCTGGTAGGGTAGTTCCTTCTCCTTCATCATTTATTCCTTGCTTTCTTGCCTTAGTGTAAAACATTCCGTAAGTTCACTGATAAAAATTAGTGAAAAAAAAGCAGCATATATTTCTGTGTAATATCGCATTTACCATCATGCGTTTTTACTAAATGAGGCACATTTGCCAATCAAATGTATATTTTTTGGCTGAAGATATAGTGTATAGGTATCCATTATGTTTTTTTCACTTTACAAAGGGATTATCAGAGCACGTATGAATAATACCTTGTGATTCTATATTATATAGCCAGTTAGTCCGCTACTTCTATTTCTTCTACTCCGGATTGCCAGGAACTCATAGAAGGGTGACTGCATTCCTGATGTGGAGTAGCTCGTTCAGTTATTACCAGCTTTCCCAAAACATTTTAGAGCTGATAAACATAGAGCTCTGCGCTTTAATGGCTGCTTGACTATCGGGCATGATATGGATATCTCGTCTTTCATAGCTTTTTTCTAGTTTGAACTATACATTTTCTGCTATAGCGTGAACTTCCTCCAGGAATATTCTTAGGTAGTACTTGGCAAGAGGTCCGTAGATACCTATTCCAGTTTCAACTTCGGTTTTAGAGCTATCTGTGTACCACTTCAAGGTATCAAACTCTCAAATACAAAAACATAAATGAAATATCTTTCGAAAAGTCAGTCTTACAAGGGCATTACAACACGGAATTACAAATCAAAATTCAAGTAATAGAAGCTTTAGGCTATTATGACAAAATAAACTTAAGATTCTAAACCAACCATAAGGAATTAGCTCATTTATCGATATGAAAATTCAGCCTAGATTTGGATTGCACAGAGGGATAGATATGGCAATGAAAGGGTATCAGACAAACTATTATTATAGAGATAATCTAGCGAAGCATTGAGCTGAGCATTTTTGGCATTGCAATGGCTACTACACGAGGAACCATCACTGAGTGGAATAAACAACACACGATATAATGAAGTCGGGATAGAAGGTCATGGAAAAGAAACAGCAAGATTATGTTGTTGGGTGAATAATACATCTGCTTCTACTGCTGATCAATGATATTCTGAACCAGTTGGACTAGTAACAGCAGGCCCCTGCAGATTGAGATATTCATGGAAAATTATCGGAAGTTTCGATGCACTTTTGCAATATCCCCTAACACTTATTCTTGGGTCGGTCCTGGTTCAAACGAAAAGCAATAAAATATAATGCAGCAGTCATTTCGAGTTTAATTGGATAAGATAGATGAAACAAACGGTCGGCTGCTTTTAATTACCTACTATTTTCTCCCGTTTCTATTTCCGTGAAATGAGAGATAAAAAATACATGAAGATATTTTACACCCTTTGGGACACATAGATATTATATTATGTATAGCTAGAGCTAGACTGTTATCATCATTGGTCGGTAGTCTACTATGATCGACTATTCAGTTTCAAAAGAAATAGATAGAAAAATTTCATATCATGCTATAGTTCCATTAATGGAAATCCTATGCTGAATTTTATATAGAGTGGGCAATGAAAACGAAACGGTCTGAATAACTTTCGGGAGATTTTTTATTTAGAAAAATGCTGAAATAAATCGATTGTTAATTTATGGGATAGAGCTTTCTATCCTTTCCTCAACTGTCCGTATCCTATGTCATTCCTCTTCCCGTGGCACTTTTTTGAAAGCTGATTTCATCATTAATTCAATGCTCCAATAACATATCATACCAATATTAAAACTGAACTTCAATCATTTTTAAATATTGCCAGACTACTTAGTATTTATTCATTTATAGTAAAGTCTCAAGGTATTATGTATTTCTATTCAGTGCACTGGATTACTAATAAAATTAGCTTCCATATGAAGTATCAAACATTGATGTGCTATAGGTAGGTATACATAACATTTCTTCTTCCCGCAAAAAAGCGCTAAATTTAATGAGGCCTCGCTCATATTTATATTACCAAATCCTTCATCAGATAAATTTTTTCCTGTTCAAATTCTATTGGCCATCGAGGTGGAGGAGAGGGGAATGACATGTGACAGTTGAAAATGTGCTATTCCTGATTCCAAAGATTCAAATAAATAGTCTCCCAGAAGTTATTCAGTCTGCTTCGTTTTCGTTGTCCCACGCTGTATAAATCCGCATATTGAGCCTATTTCAATCACTGGTTTTCATTGTAAATCTCTTGATATCCGTCTTGATATGGCCATTTTTTTTGTTTCAGTGTGGGTGGTACAATGCCAAGAGGAAGAAATGTATTTCAGCAAAAGCCCGAAAGACGTGACCGTAGTACTTGGCCAGTCTGTTACTCTACCGTGCGAAGTCACACCAGATAATGGCGTCAGGTACTACTGGGAACTTAACGGTAAGTTATCTGTATATATGCATCACAACTTACGACAATAAAGACGAATAAATGGACTGCAGAGTCAGAAGTGGTTAATTTTGCTGAACGAACGGCAATGTAGGCTGACTGACAAAAATCGCAACTATCAACTAAACTAAGTATATCAAATGATATTAGTCATCAGATTACATGAGTAGATGTGAAAACTTGTACGTGTACAATGAAAAAAACTAACCTTGTCTTGCCTAAACTTATATATATATCCTCCTTTTCCAACCTGAAGGATTAGAATTACCTGGGGAATGGTTCGATAAACGTCCATTTTCGGAATTCGGAAAATAGGCACAATATTTACATTAAAATACGGTGTAACGGATTAACTTGAAAGGGTTGATAGCAAATACATATTATTACCTAATAAGAAAAGAAATTCAACAGTGGTGAACTATTGAGGTCTAATCGATCGTTAAGTAAAATGTTAGAATTTTTGAGTTTGTTGATTTGTAATGATTCAAAATGATTGAGTTTTCATCCTTTTTTTTTCTACGTGTAGAATTTCGAAATTATTACCAAACTATGGTTTTATTCTAATATATATGGTTGACGTATAATGAATTTGTTTTCTTTTTCAAAAAATTCATATCATGTTCATGAATGCGCTGATTGAACGTATGACCTGTCTGACCGATATATACTTCAGGGCAAGATCCACAGTTGATTTTGTATCTCCTGAGTTTTCGAATTTAGAAGTTTTGTCTTTTTTATTTTTGATGAACCTCCCTACTTACAAGATCTTGTTTGATGAATATTCTCTTCTTTCTCTCTCCTTTTTTAAATAGTTTTCAGAAGTTGAAATAAACTTAACTTCCGGAAGAAACATATTTTGACAAGAATGACGGGAAAAATTAAATTATTCCGTGCAAACATCTCGTTCAAATGGAAACTTCTCAAATCATTATTCGTATTCATTTTTCTTAAAACGTACGAAAACTGGATATTTCGAATACATGGAAGCTTAGCTTAGGTTAACCCTAAAATTCTTTCTGTTGCATATCTGCAACATAACTAGTATTTGTCAGTTTTCTACTAAATGAAGGCATATCAGTTCAGTGGCGTTTTTGAAGATTACGACATACAGGGTGTTTCATTACTAATTGGAAATATTTCAACCATAGAATCCCGAACTCAAAATATGAAGATTTAACCCAAATCACCTCGATAAAATATGTCTCCTGTCTGAGTTACAGGGTTTTATTGAAAAAATTTGAAATGTTTTTTGCCCAGTTCATCAAAACTTTTTGACGTATCACTTTCATAATTGGAGGAAAGTGTAGGTATTATACATCCAACAGAATTATGTGAAATGATCTTTTCTAGCTCTTACCAGAGGTGTACGATAGGGGCAAGTGACTGGTTGATTCTTCCAAAATTCTACGCCACTGGCGGAATTGCAATTTTATCAGAATTTTTCGATTCTTCAATACCTTCTTCATAAATATTGTACTCCTTCTTCATAGCGATAAAGTCATTATTTTTCGAGATATTTCAAGTTAAACCTGAAGCAGCACAATTATTTTGATTTTAATGTGTATCAATAATGTCGATATTTTGGATCAATGGACTGCATTCATCAATCAAATGAAACCTCAATCCATATCAACATAAAAACAAAACAGACGGGAGCTGTTACAGGGCGTTTTAAATTTTATTATATATTACATAATTAAACACCCTGTAGCAGCTCCTGTCTGTTATGTAATTATGTTTTTATTGTTAATATGGATTGAAGTTTCATTTTATTGATGAATACAATCCATTGATCCAGAATATTGACAAAATTAATGCACACTGAAATCAAAATGATTGTGCAGATTTATGTTTAACTTGAAATATCTCGAAAAATAATGACTTTATCGCCATGGAGAGAGAGTACAATATCTACGTCAAAATTGTAAGAGAATCGAAAATTTGTGATAGAATTGCAATTCCGCCAGTGGCGTAGAATTTGGGAGGGATCAACCAGTTAATTGCCCCGGTCGTACGCCTCTGGTAATAGCTAGAAAAGTTCATTTCACATAATTCAGTTGGATGTATAATATCTACACTTCCCTCCAAATATGAAAGTGATACGTCGAATAATTTTGAGGAACTGGGCAAACAACATTTCAAAATTTTTGAATAAAACACCCTGTAACTCAGACAGGAGACATATTTTATATAGGTGATTTGGGTTAAATCTTCATATTTTGAGTTCGGGATTCTATGGTTAAAATATTTCCAATTAGTAATGAAACACCCTGTTTATTAACATTCTTATTTGAAATATCTTGTCCCAATTCTAACGTGTTCATTTTATCTATGATTTTATTAATGACTGAGTCTGTCAACTATGATGAGGAAAAGTGATTTTTCAAAGGATCGATCACTATCTATTTTCATGAACTGCTGGTGAAAGTTGTTATTGTATAGGTAAGAAATACATTATGTCATCATTTTAATTGTTTGTTACAGTCATCTGAAAAGAAGTTGAAGTCACTTTGAAATTAGTGATGCACATATGCAACATCATGCTGTACATGGTGGCTGGTACTCATCATTGGGCTCTCATAAACCATAAGAGATACAGGGTCGCAATTCCATATCAAACATAATGCCGTTTTGAAATTGGGAAAATTCCAGAGATATACAAAAAACCGAAATTTCCTCAGACCTTTTCAATTCATCTTATGTTATTTGAAAAAAAAAATCGAAACAAATGACACTTCTTCTTCCCTACAAGTTGGTGTTTTCAAATTTGAAACCCGAAGTTTCGTCTTCCAGAAACCATTATCAGCTTATCAATTATTATTGATTTTTCATCAAATATTCCGTTCACAAAAATGTATCGTTTCTCATTGAATACTATCAATTATTGATTTTTCAATCATGTTGATCAGGCATGATGTTGCACATGTGCAAGAATCAGATATGTTTGAGAGAAAAAAATTTAAATGAAAATTCGATTTTTTTTTTCGATGATTTTTACATGTGGAACAGAAATGCTCTTCAGACATATTTTTTCGACGAAATCAAAAAAGTCATGCATTGTAGGGTTGAGTATGGATAATTTAAAATTTCAGGTGCGAACATAACGAGTACTACTCGCCGATACAAAGAGGGCAGTAACTTGCACATAACCCGTGTGGACAGAGAACAGGACTCTGGTCAGTTCACTTGCATTGCAGAAGATACGACTAGACAATCAGCCGCGATCAAGAGCAGTCCTGCCACCATCAATATCCAATGTGAGTACATATACTTTAATTTTTTTCTACCAGCGTGCGGAAATAGTATATTGTTCAACGAGCACGAAGTGATAGTGATTTCCTACGAGAATGAAGTTAGCAACATGAGTCATAGGCGAATGCTGCAATCATTCGAGTAGGAAATCAGCATTCCGTGCAAGTTATACAATATAATTTTTTTACAAACGCTTAACAAAGTAGCCTTTGACGCTTTCAAATTCCAGCACAAAGTTGACGTTTTCCCAGAAATGTCATTCTTTGACAGCATATGCGCTCGTGTGCGGAAATATTGAAAAAACGCTCGCTTATCTCTGATGTAACCTATACTTATCTATTCTTGAAAACCCCCAATTCTTTCATGATGGAAAATAGTGACAGTGAATCATCAAACACACCTCCTTCCTGATGATATAGCAGAAAGCGCAAGAGTTTGAATCTCTTACCGAAGAAATCGAGGACGAAATATGAATTACAATATGATACATTCATGAATTGGTGCCACTCCGAGATGGTGAATATGTATTCATAAAACGTTTTACTGTCTTATTTTGGTAAAAAATCAAAGACTTTGAAGTCATCAACTCATTGGTCTATATATTCGATGGTACGTATACATGCTGCTTGAATGTTAAAGATAATATCGGAATCAATAAGTATCTGAAACTTATCGCATTTCTCAGGAAACAATCTATTGGATACAAAGCGATAAAAATCCAAAACATTCAGAGCTGAAGATATATACCAACAAATTTCTACAAGAAGCTCCCGATGAAGCATATCTGTTGAAAACGATGAATTATACTTTATATTTAAACTCTTTGTTGTCATCAGAAAGACAGTGTATCTTTATTTTATTGCATCAATGAGTAATAATCAATTTGATTGCAGAGCTTATCGTACTATGGCTCAGAGGTCTGAAGCTCAGGTTGCCACGCTGGTGGTCCAGTTTCAATTCTCGGTAGGCCCGACATTTTTTTTCTGGCTTGTCAGTTATTTAAATTTTTCTTTTTTTGTTTCCTTTGGACATATGGGATAATATTTATTAGAACTCTTTCAACTATTTCAATCGCTCATACTTTCACGGTAATTATTTCCAAAAGCTGCGTTAGTAGAAAAAATCTTGTGTATATTTCGAGCACAAAGTGTTATTGCCACTCTCCAAAGATTTCTTTGTCGAGCGACAATCTATTAGTTTGCGCTCTAAATACACAAATAGCTATTTTCTACGGCTATAATAGATAACAAAGGCATTTTCGATTCCTTCGTCTTGTAGCCATCTGATTTCCTGTCAAGAAATAATGCATATCTATTAGACAGAGCTGTCACCCCTTCGCATTTGGCATTCCATGAGCGATGAGATTTTTTTAAAATAATAACACAATGGAGTCATTGTGATATTTGATACGGAAATAATATTGATGACAAACAGAATACCTCATTGATGTATCGAACACAGTAAAACAAGAGCAATTATGTGTTATAGCCGTAGAAAAAGTACATTTTCCGCATGATTTTTCGTTTGGAAAAATGTACTTTTTCGTACGATTCTACTTTTTTCGCATTATTTTTACTTTTCCGCACGATTTCGAAGGAAATACTAGGAAACATGTGATGATAACTGTTGGCATCAGAACGTACCCATAGCAGCAGTCGCTTTAAACTGACAGTAGTGGCAGTCAACAAATGAGCATTTCAAGCGTTATTTTTTTGTGCACGTAATTCCAATTAAAACTGGACAACTCAGAAAACTTTGAAGATCTCCCCCCGGAAATAATTGATGCAAATACTAACCAATCGAATTCAAATAAGTAACGACGTTCTTCAAGATGTTGCGGCATCTGCTATATTACAGCATGCAACAAACTCAAATTGCACTTTCAATTTCAATATTTACCATCGTTAATCACAGGATATCCCTTTTCGTGGGAACCAGGAAAAAAAAATTGTAATTCAATAAGTTTCCTATTATATCGATTAAATAAAAATCTATTTATTTATTTTTCAGTGCATGAAAATATCGTGCGGAGAAGTAACTTTACCGCACTACTGCTGGAAATTTACTTTTTCTACTACTGCTATGAAAAGTAGCGCATTTCTCATAGCTAACTTAGTTTCAAAACCATGTATTGCTCATACTGTGAGAAATATTTTTTTCCTCCGATTGGCAGCAAATATTAATTTTGCTGACACATATCAATCAGCAAAGTATTACTTTTCCTGCCTAGGCAGCAAAGTGAGTACTTTGCTGATTGATATATATATAAGCAAAACTAAAAATCCATAAATCATTTATAATTTCCTTCATATTTCATCCGAGACTTCTCCGGCAACAAATTCAACTCTATATTTTTTGCCACCTCCATTAATAATGGAGGTGTAAGTATACTTCCAGGTCGCTATCACTGTCCATTATATAATAATTTGAATATACCAATATTGTTTCGCACAACTGTCAGAAATTTCATGACTTGTCAAACCAACAACTGCGATTTCTATCAAATTTTATTTTAATTGAACACTATACAGGAAGAATAAAGAGATTGTGGGAATTGTATTAATTCGCAAACACAATATTCTCCCATATCATTATGAACAATCGGAGAAAAAATCATATGTTCAACTCGGCAGCACAGTAGATTGACTGCCTTTGCTGGATTCCTAGCCTCGCTACGCTCGGCTATGAATTCAGCCACGGCAGTCAATCTACTACTTTGCTGCCTAGTTAAACAAATAACTATTCTCACGGCACTTTGCCAACACCACATACATTTCCATGGAGAATCAAAAAATATCGACCAAAACTTGGCTGCTGTTCGGCTTCGAATAGTTGTCACAGAGGAAGTTTTTAAAATTCTTCAGGGTAGTTCTCATTAGTACTTTTGATAGAAATCGCATTTTCTATCACATATTATTCCAACAATTTATAATGAATAATATGATGTATATACCGAGATGTGGCGATTTTGATAAATACATCGCCAGAGACAGAGATAATGAAAGAAGCTACGAAATATGGATTTGATTCCGAAAATTTCAAGAAAAAAGTATGAATTGGCATGAACAAACAATTTATGGAATCTAAAAAAATCTTTTTTCGAAAAGTGTACTTTTTTTTAAATACTTTGAGAAACTAGGAAAGGTGTCTACTCTTTGGTCACAATATTCAATGTGGCATAGTGCCACATTATAAAATGAATACCAATAAGCTACATTACTCGGATTCTTTGAATAAGTGCAGTTGTAGAAAAAGTATAGTGTGCAACATGTGGGGAAAAGCACTTTTCTTACTCGTGTGTTTGCATGACCCGCCCTTCAGGCTCGTGCCACAAACTTTAACACTCGTGAGAAAAGTTGAACTTTTCTTACTTGTTGCACAATATACTATTTCCGCACGATTTTTGTATTGTTGAAAATGAGTATATCTAGGACTGAATGATCCATGTAACTATTCTGTCTTATGTGTATTTGCATATTTTGTAGCATCACTATAAAATATTGTTTATTAAGAACCTTTTATTTTTCATAAATACAGGGTGGGCCACCAGTAACGCCTCGGTCTCTAGAAGGCTAACCACTTATCTTCTTGGAATTCTTCCTCTCTAGGAAGTTGCATGTCAACATTTAAAATTATTTCGAAACATACAGGCTGTCCCCAAAAACCATGAAACACTGAAGTTAAACTTTTTTCTATCGAACACCCTATATATTATTTCATTTTGAGATTCTCCCTGATGAGCTGATTTCAACGACCCATCATACTTGGGGTCTAGCAGTTATAATTACTGAAATATAGGGTGTGAAAAATCGAGATTTTCCAAGTTCAAGAATTTTTTGTGTCGAAACTATTCATAATTGGTCAAAACGGCTCACAGTCCCTATCTCAACTTTTGATCAACTATCTACTGACATTTAATTGAAACAAATACAGGGTGGTGCAGAATTCAGAATCCTGATCACCCGGTATATGTCTCAATTAAATATCAGTAGATAGTTGATCAAAAGTTGAGATAGGGACATGTAAGCCGTTTTGACCAATTATGAATAGTTTCGACACAAAAAATTCTTGAACTTGGAAAATCTCGATTTTTCACACCCTATGTTTCAGTAATTATAACTGCTAGACCCCAAGTATGATGGGTCGTTGAAATCAGCTCATCAGGGAGAATCTCAAAATGAAATAATATATAGGGTGTTCGATAGAAAATAGTTTAACTTCAGTGTTGTATGGTTTTTGGGGACACCCTGTATGTTTCGAAATAATTTTAAATGGTAGCCTATGTTGACATATGCAACTTCCTAGAGAGGAAAAATTCCAAGAAGATAAGTGGTTAGCCTTCTAGAGACCGAGGCGTTACTGGTGGCCCACCCTGTATTATAGACAAAACACTCGTAGGAAAAACTTTATAAAATGTCTTTTCCGCCGTTGGCGACTTGCCCGAACTGCGCCCCGCGTCGTGCAACTGCCGTCGCGTGCGAAAAAGTACCTACTACTTTCCGGACTTGTTAGGTAAATAACTATTTTCACTGATTATGGCCTCCTCCTTCATAGCACAAAAATAACTATTATTGCATGCTTATTTCAACTATAGAGAAACTCTTCATGGGACGTTAATGCGGTAATTTAGTCCCTAAAGGTTTGTCTAAATCTGAACTCCACAAGTCCACAGGGCTCATTTACAAAATGCTTGTGAAGGGCCGTCCCTAACACATGTCCTGAATATAAATTAAAAATAACCCCCGAAATTCGGTGTCTGCGACAACCATCTTAGTGATGAGTAAGTTTATGAATGGACCTGATTGTTATGACTGTAGTTTCCTGTCAAAACAGCATTTATTTCTGCTGTTTCCCCCGTTTCGTACATAAAAACACATCCAAACGAT